AAAAACAAATTCTTCTCTTCTTTTGTATTCTTTTATATTTTACATGGTGCTCATTAGGCTTAATACCTGATTTTCATTAAGCCCTCTCTTATCATGCCTGGGGCAAATAAGCAAGTGCTTATTTCAGTAGAAGCACTGAAGCATTATTTGTTCCCTTCTTGTAATTTACATTCAAATTTTTCAGTACTATTTCTGTTAAGGTGACCTGATTTGTAGCAGAAATTGTAACTATTAAAATGCCCTAGCAAATATTTACACTTGAAATTGTTGGAATGTCATATTCCATACTCTTAAGTGGGTTCAGTAACTATAAACTGGATTGCTAATTATTGATTAAGTTCATAATATCCCTGTTATCATTAAATAAGTCAATACAAATATTTTCAAAAACTATTATCAAAGCACTATGAATTTCTAGTTATGTTTTAATATTGAGTTTGATAGCTGGACCACTAAGTCATGGATCTAAAAGACACTAAGTACATCAAGAGTTTAACATACCTGGAATTTTTAAGTTTGATGTTCCAAATTGTTTAAATATAAAAATCTACATCTTTTGTCTTTATTTGCTACAAAGGATTTTTTTTCTTTGACAGAAGTACCTTTTGCTATGCTAATAGCTTCCTAGTGACTGCAGAACAAGAACTACACCATTGAATGAATATTCATATCAAAGAGATATTTATAACATTTTCCATGTCATTGCTCCTTTGCCCTTCCTAAAAACACATTTTAGGAATTACAGTGTAGGCTTGAAATCCATAAGGAAACATCTTTGATCTTTTTATTCAGCTTGAAATACATTTTTAAACAACAGATCTTCAAATTAAGGGAAATTGGTAATAAGTAGTTGTTGGAAAAAATAACATTAGCAAATCTAAGAATTGAGATTTAAGTGATATAATTTGATGGTAAGAAAGTTTAAGAACAATAGGTAACAACACAAAAATATACATCCTTTTGGTGTAAGGATTTTTGCATTTTTGTTTATCAGCATTTTCACTGTTTTAGAATAATGTTTAATGCAGGTTAGAAGTCTGGAACATTTGTTAAATAAATGATAGAAAGAGCAAATGAATATGTGTGATACAGAAAATTGATCCTCATTCTCCTGGTCAAATAAAACATTTTGTTTGTTTGTTTGTTTGAGACAGTGTCTCTCTGTGTAGTCCAGGCTGGCCTGGAACTCAGGGTAATCCTCCTGTCTCAGCCTCCAGAGTACTGAGATTATAGATGTGAGCAACCACACCCAGAAAGAAGCAAGATTTTTTTTTTCTTTTGTAACAGGGATTGAACTCCGGACTTTGCGCTTGGGAAGCAGGCAGGTGAACCACTGAGCTAAATCCCCAGCCCTAGGAGACAAGATTTATGAAACAATACCTACCTTTACTCATTGATACATCAGGTATTTTCTAACATATTTCAACTTTTTATTATTGGTCAAGATGTACGAAATTGATTTCAAGATGCATTTCCCAGAAACACATAGGGTTTGAGCCATTGTTCAGAAAGAAAGCCACTGACTTGGAAACACAAAAGAAGACTCTTCCAGCACAGCAGGAGCTCTTCTCCCTTCTAAGTGGTTTGCAGCTGAAATGCTTAGCAGACTGTCATCTACAGCCTGTTCTGATTTAAATGACTCAGTGATAAAACAGATGGGTGCTGAACTTTGCCTCCATCCACAGTGCTAGAAGGGCAAGTGCCATGGACCTTTCTTCTCTGCTCTGAGCATGTTTGGTCCATACCATTATTCTAGATAGAAGAGTTTGAAAATGAAATTCTTCTCATTTCTGGGAGCATTGTAAATTCAATCTGTTACTTAAATTTGTCTTAGAGTTTACAAGACTCACATTGTTGCATTGTTATACTTGACTCTGGATAACTCTAATTCTTCCTCTAAATAACAATTTTTGCCTTCACAGTAGTCTTAATTTAAGACTGTTTACTGAAGCCGGGTGAAGGTGCACACCTCGACTTGCTACTTGGGAGGCTAAGGCAGGAAGATTCCAAGTGTGAGGCCAGCCTAGGCAAGTATAAGCAAGACATTGGATAAAAACTGTCAGACTTTTTAAAAGGGCTGGGGGTGTAGCTCAATGGGAGAGCTCTTGCAGTATATGTATACCCTTGTGTTCAATAATCAGTGCCAGGAAAAAAAAATACCAAAAAACAAACAAACGAACAATTTACTGAGCATTTTCTAAGTACAAAGCTCCACACTAGTGCTAGGAATTATAATAGGGGAGAAACAACAATCTTAGCCTCCTGGTATTTATATTGCAAAGAAAACAAATTAAATTATGTATAGATTATACAAGCCATTAAGTTATGAGGGAAAAAGTGTCACGAATTGGAAAATATCATTCAAACTAGTCAGGGAAGGTCTTTGTCAAGAGGTAACATTCAAGTTGATAACCAAAGAATGAGAGGTAGACATGAGTGTGAAATGCTAAGGGGAAAAACAACTGTCCAGACAGCAGATGCACATTCAGGAAAGCTTTAACACAGGAAAAAAGTGCGCTATGAGGAGGCAGTATGACTTGACCCAGTGAGGAGGGAGGAAAACTATTATGAGATGAAATGAAAAATTGCTGGAAGGGGAAGTTAGTAAATGATATGATCAAATTTGGGTTTTCAATATTTATTTACTTTTTTTTTGGAGGGATAGGGTTTTACTCTGTATTCCATGCTTACAGCAACCCTCCTTCCTCAGCCTCCCCAGTGCTGGGATTACAGGTGTGCACCACCATGCCCAGTAAAAATTGGGTTTTTAAATGCTCATGCTTTTATCAACTGTATGTGGACAACAGATTGGGTAGGGTGTGAAGAGAAGCTAAATAAAGCAAGGATTGAAGTGGGGTGTTGGCAATGGAGGTGGAGCAAAGTGATTGAACTCTAAATATATTTTGGAGCTAGAAGAAACAAAACAAAATTTTTACAAGTGCGGCCACAAGGAACTAAGCTGAAAATTGGGTGAACAAGTGAACACATCAAAAGAGGATATGATATTTGGAGGAAAGAATGGGAGAAGTATACACTAAGTAACAGCTTAAAGGCAGTGCTGTGTTGTCACATTTACAATGCAGTATCAGTCCAACTGCCTAGAAAGGGGGACAGCCAGCAAGGTGAGGGCTACAGAAGAAAGGCACTAAAGACTTGCATAATTTCAAAATATGCAAGGGGCTAGAAGATCAGCTGGCAGAAGAACCAAAATGCTGAGATCTTGCCACTATTTATTGGGTTGGTTCATAGGGAGTATAAAATGACTCATAGGGCAGCAATAATCCTAAACTCATGAGGATTTTATAATCTGAAAGAGTATCCGATGTCTCTGAAGGCAGCAATAATCCTGAGTTCAGGAAGATTTTATGCTGATGTAATCTTGTTCTTGAGCATCACAACATCATGGGACCTTTCAGAATGGCTCCCAACAACTCAAATCCTACCTTCTTCAAGGACCAGTAATTTCTTAAAATAAAGTATTAAACCAAGGAAGATATTTGGATAGTTGGGGATATTTGGATAGTTGGGCCCAGGTTAATGAAAAAAAAAAAAAAAAAAAAAAAAAAAT